AGCGTTTTCTGCCCCAAGCGTGTAGGCCTGGACGAGGAATTTCCGTGCAAAGTCTTTGAATGAATGTTGTATTGAAACGTTTCAAACCGATAGTGTACTTCTTCGCAGGTTTATAGCAAGCTGTATGTGGCTCTCTGGATGGCAGCGATTATCTTTTCTAGCCACTTAGCAGCACCTTCGTCGTTACCATCTTCCAAGCATTCCACAACTCCGGGAAAGATGACTCCGTCATAGCCATACCACAGCCCTGGTGCAAAGATCTGCCAGGATGTTAGAACACGAACAACGGGGACCTCAGACTTAAACTTACAGCATGTCGATACCACTCCCGCCCAGGCAACCCAGCCCCTTTTGGCAAAAGAAACTGCCGCTCAAGATAGAGATAGGCCTTGTTGACTTCATTGTCAACTTGCATGTTTCCTGGAGCGACTCTGAGTGGCGATATCGCGTCTAATCGAGACGCGGCGTCTTTGAAATGCGTGACTGCGTTGCTCAGAGCATGAAAGCTGAGGACGTTATCATATTTGGCCTTGAGCTTCTCCAAGTGATGAGCGAGGGTCCTCGGATACTCCGCTGCCTCGAACGCAATATTACCCAAACCAGCAAGGCGAACCGTCAATAACCCCCAGAGTTGAGCCATCGCAAGGTGCTTCTTGAAGCCGATATCGCCAAAATTTTCGACCCAGTAGTAACTATCGTAGTTGGAATGATAAGGATAAACACCCTTTCCCTGCCGATTGAAGAGCAGGTCAACGGATGGAATGCCGAGATGATCGAAGAAGACCGTGTAATCACTTCCCGTACCCATTAGATCGAGGGTTGGGGTCACCTGCTCTGGGTTGGCTCGCTTTTGGTCGCTCAGCCAGTCATCATAGACTGTTCGATTCTCGTTGATCGGCGATTGGACCATGCGAGTAACATCACGAATCACGCTTGCAAGAAGAGGACTACCTGTCGCGCCAAGGATCGTCCCACCATTGGTCGACTCGTCAACATTAAGGTCTGAGCAAAGATCAGTTCCTATCTTTCCCACAATCCAGACATTTCATAAGACTTACAGGCAACACAGTTCTTGCTTAAATCATCTTGGTGGTGTTCGCCCCATTCGGTAGAGCCGACCAGGCCGTATTCTTCGTTGTCCCAGTTTGCTAGTATTCTGCATGTTATGGGTAGTGAGACATAACTCTTACCGGTTGAATCTTGCAACTATAACAATGCATTACTTACATCTTCCTGTATGGTTTCCAGCCTTTTGAGTAAAGCTCGCCAAGGGCCCTAGCGACCTCGTTCATGGCCGCCGTCCCACTCACTGGGTCGATAGCTCCACAGCACCAAGAATCATGGTGATTACCAAGAACGATGCTCTCTTCAGTGGTCCCACGTATGGTCCCGATAACGTTGTAGATCGGGGCGTATTTGTAAGTGCCTGGGAATATAGTCAGAAATTCTGCCTGGTTTCCGGACAGCTTGAGATCAAAATTGCTCACCTTGGTTCGATAGAAAGACTCTGGCTTGGCTAGGGCCAGTACAATAGTCCACTGCCGGAAGACATCCTTTCCAGTCGCTGTGCTCACCGGCTATCTGACTAGGTATAAGTCCATGGCCGTTCAATGCCTGAAGGAAAGGAATAGCTTCCGCATAAGAGATTGGCAGAGATGGTATCCTTGGGGTTGCGTGACCAGGATCCTGTCGTTCAAGGTCGGTGTCTGGCAAACTGGGGTACCCGGGTGTCGTGGGGTCACCCACGGCCACGGAGAAGAAGTCGACGCTGCCTCGCTGAATTGTTTTGGGATGCCTTGCTGGACCATGAGGGTAGGGCTCATAGCCATTCTCAACAGTGTATTCGCCGTCCTCTTGAGGGTCGTTATACAGAATGACAGCGGCTGCCCCGTACTGTTCGGCTGCTCTAACTTTGAGGCCTCTAAAGACCTTGGCATACTTGCATATGACGATTTTGCCTTTCACGGAGATTCCATGCGACTTCAGCAGCTCAAAGTCTTTCAACTCGCCGAAGTTCGCATACACCAATTCGGCGCAGATTTCGCCGTTTGCGCTGAAGCCATGAAAGGCGGGTAAACCATTTCGAGGAGACGACGTTGGATCCTCTGACACCTCGTCCTCTGTCAGGGATGCCTCGAAATCTACCTGTCCATCCGGTGCAAGGAGATGCAGAGCTTGAGACTTTGGAAAGTTTTGCAGGACCTGGTATTCTTCCAATGCGGCCGGGATACCGTACGAAATCCATAGATCCCGTATGCGTTCTGCGTGGGCTAGGTCCCCGGCTAGGTGGGGTTCTGCGCTGTACAATTTTGACCAATGGCGAAGTTTCGTAGTGTCAGGCGATTGAAGCATGAGCTTCTCAGCTTCATGTTGTGGTACCTTGATCTCCATGAGCTACCTTGGTATCTTAGTGGTATGGAAGTTGGAATGCTAGATTGAGGTTGCTGCTGCGGCTGTCAATGTCTTCTCAATGAACGCGGTTGCTGGACTGGATGTTAACTTTGACCAAAAGCGAAGCAGATTTGGTAGGGGTTTTGTGCCAATCCACTACTAGTACCATCGTTCAGTCCCCGACCGATTGCGGGGATACCGGGTTTTGGAGACCCTAACAATGATAAGAACAACATTGGCTTCCTAGTTTGGGTGGAAACCAAATCTTATGTGATGAGATGAGGTGATGGTTTGTTATCCCCTGAGAAGGTACCTGAAGTGAAATATGCTCCTGCAACCTATATTGCTGCCACGACACTACTCAGCTTCGTGTTGCAAAAAACGGCTTGATCTTCTACGGTGCATCCTGATCGCTGATGGCCACTTGCAGCATAACGCAGGACCAGAGACAGACTGCATAAGATGCCTACTCAGAATAGTGCAGTAGTCATTTGATATACTCAATTTCAACCACAGATATCGACGATCAGACGCATGAACATTCTGATGCAGTCAAGATAGTCCGGAATGTCTACTTTCTCATCCGGCCGGGTGTTGTACTTCCCTCCAGGACCACAGACAATACCTTCCATCCCCAAAGTTTTGAACAGGTGGCCAGCGTCGGATCCATAGAAGCAAGTCGGCGCAAGAACCCCTGTTGGCTGCTCGTAGTTGCGAACCTGGCGATAGGCCTTGTTCAGGGCTCTCACTATCTGCGAGTCTCTTGGCACCTCAAATGCCGGCATTGTAGGCTCAAACCGCTGCTTGACAGTAGCCGACATACCAGCATAATTACCAACTACCGTGTCCACTAATTCGCGAATATCAGCCATGACACCTTCTTGTGTCTGGCCAGGAGCGTAGCGCGCACTTCCAGCAAGCTTGCATACGTCCGCTACTTGGGCAGGTCTCCATTCAACCAAGTCTTTCCCAAGGGCACCATGAACCACGCCCACTGAACATCTGTTGCACTTTTCATGCTCACTGCTCTTGGCTCCACGGAATTTCATACGTGCCATCTGGGGAATCAGCTCACATGCCGCCAGGATCGCATCGGATGCCTCCTCCTTGGCTGACATGTGTCGAGTGACTCCAACAATCTCAATCTCGAAGACTAGAGCTTCCGCGTGCATTGTGACTGCTTGTATATCCGACGGTTCGCAGTTAACAAAACAATCGGCATTGATCTTTCCTTGATCAATGAGGGCCATCGTACCAACGCCTCCCTGAAGCTCACCAACCACATAGGTCAGGACAACATTGCCTCTGGGCCGCCAGCCAGCCTTAAGCAGCGCTTCAACGGCGCAAAAGTACGCGGCACAGCCAGATTTCATGTTACTGACTCCAATGCCGTAGATAAACTCGTTATCAATCTTTCCCTCCCAAGGATCGATCGTCCAACCTTCGGAGACAGGATTTGTGTCTAGATGTCCATTGAAGAGTAGCGTTTTGGGGACTTTGTTGCTCGCTGCTGACACTGAATGGTGGCCCTTCCAGATCCCTATCGCATTTTGACGGCGGCCGTTGTCGAACGGGCAAATAGCCGACTCCAGTCCAATCTTTCTCATTTGCTCGGCCATGAAATCCGTTGCCTCTAGCTCACCATCGGTCTGCGAGTAGCTCTTGATTTGAATGAGCCTTGACAAGAAGGCAAGGCAGTGAGCCTGGTCAATGTCTGGGACCTGCATGATCTGGCGATATGTTTGTGGTTTCGAATTGTATTTGCTTGAAGACGGATGACTGATTTACTGATAGGCCCTGAGCTTCGGCAAGCGTTGCATCTAACACAGAAAGTCAATGGCGATCGGCAGCGCGAAGAGTGGCGACAACGTTTCGGATGTTGCCCAAAGTCGACTTACTGGACTTATCCTTTACTGAGGACCGAAGAATTGGAATGGGCGCCGGGAATCACTCGGAAGCAGATCGGTGTGCTTGTCCGATCCATGGGTCAAGTTTGTATGGTGCGAAATAGTCGGAGTCTTATCGGCCGCTCGGGCTTCCCCGGCGATCCACATAGAAACGAGGCAAGTGGGGGACGTTGATACAACCCCTGCATGCTAAGCTTTTGAGCGGAAACCCGGGTCCACTGTCTTTGTCTTGGAGATCTTGTCCTTGTCGAAGGCGGGGACGCGCTCAAGAAGTTTTCCGAGCCGTCGGGATAACAAGATCGGAGCGGTTGCCCGCCGGCAAAGGAAGCCACATCTTATCAGCTACTCCAAGACTCAAAGCTCATGTCCGGCTGACCGGCACATCATCCACCGCAGGGGACAAGGAGATAAACGTGTTTCCATTGATTGATAGGTCATCAGTGGCTACCTATATGTACTTGTTGTGGAGACATTCATTCAAGCTTACTCGAAGGTGCCACAATTGATAGCGAAGTCGGCTTTTAGAGGCCGAGCCAGTGCATCTACCATTCTCAAATGTTTGGATGCAGCACGATTATCCATGATTACGGCGATGCTGCTCTCGATAAGCGTGATTCTAGCGGAGATATTAGACCACCGAGCCGGATATCGCAAAGAAAGACCACATAGCTTGTTTTCCATTCTCAATGTTCGTCCCGGAAAATGAGCGACAACATTGAAGCATCACCGGCAGCGGCTGACACTGCCAGCGGCCATGAGGTCGCTCTCAAAGGGCAAGTCGCTGATGAAGGCTATGATATTTTTGAGGAAGGCATCGCGCAGTCCGTGCCGCAGGATATTGCCAATGCTGTCAGGCGCAAGATTGATCGCCATCTTTTAGCGTTGATGTGCTTGCTGTATGGCCTCAACTATGTCGACAAAGTTGCAATGGGATGGGCAGTATTGTTCGACTTCCGCAAAGACCTTGGTCTGGTGGGAGATGAATATTCATGGGCCAGCTCCATGTTTTACTTGTTAGTGATGACGACCAAATCTGTGGATTCAAGAGTAAACTGACCATCTGCAGCGGATACCTTGCCGCGCAATACCCTGCCAACTATATGCTTCAGAGATATAAGACAGTCCGGATTCTCAGCTCTGCCGTGATTATTTGGGGTGTGCTAATGCTTGCGTGAGAATACAGCCCTCCTCAAACATTCATTGTCGTATAACTGACTATCGGAAAGCCATCTTGGCCTGCGAAACTTTGCCGGACTGATGGTAGTCCGCTTCCTCCTCGGTGTAGCTGAATCGGTTGTAACTCCTGGCATTCTGCTGTATACTTCTATCTGGTACACCCGAAAGGAACAGGTCTTGCGTACGATGCTGTGGGCTGCTATGCAAGGGGCATTTTCCATTGTTTGCAGCTTGTTGTCTTTCGGCCTGGGTCATATTACCAACACCGCCTTGAGGCCTTGGATGTACATCTTCCTAGTCTTGGGCATTCTCAGCATCTTGGTAGGCGTCCTCTGGATCATTTTTATGCCGGAAACCCCCAACAAGGCCAAGTTTCTCACACACGAGGAGCAAGTCATTGCCGTACAGCGTGTTGCGCAGAACATGACAGGCATCAAAGGGTATGAATGGAAGCACTACCAAATGTGGCATGCAGTAATCGATGTGAAGACTTGGCTGGTACTGGCATTTGTTCTCTTCACTCAACTCCCTAATGGCGGTCTCACATCATTCGGAAGCCTGGTTATCTCAGGGTTCGGCTTTGACGCGTTCCGAACACTGCTCATTGGCCTTCCTTCATCCGTTGTCAGTGCAGGGAGCATGATTGTTTGGGGAACCATTTCAATTAAGTATGGAAATCTCCGAACATGGGGCATGATCATACCTCTGCTACCTGCGATTGCAGGAATCGCGGCTGTCTATGCTACTATGGATACGGGGGCAAACAAGTACGGGCGGGTAGTTGCATACTGGCTGATCAACTCGTATGCTGTAACAGTGAGTCACTGAGCCCTCTTGCAAGCGAAAAACCTCTTACTAACCTGTTTTCACAAGTGGCCATTTGTCTTGACTATTGTCGGTCAAAATGTCGCAGGCCATACCAAGCGGGCATTTACTAACACCATGCTCCTAATGGTCTTCGCTGCTGGAAATATCGCTGGTCCATTCTTTTTCCGCAGTCAAGACGCCCCAAAGTACTTTCTTGCTATTGCGGTAGTTTTGGTCTGTTTCTGCGCGGCACTTTTGACTGCGATCGTCTTACGATTGTACATGGCTTGGCAAAATAGGCGCCGGGATAGCAAGTACGGTAACGTTGATGGAGTCGAGAAGGTTGACGGGATGAGGTTTGGAATGCACGACAAGACAGACTTGGAGAATTTGGATTTCAGATACGTTCTCTGAGATTCGATGGCACGACTCGTAACTTCAGCCACAAAAACAGGGAGGCGTCGATAGTTTCATCTCCCCTCTCAGGCTTCGAAGGTGAGGGCGGAGATTTAACTGAACTGTTGCGCCGGCATGGTGCGAGCTTGAATGACCTGGATTTGGGAAACATCAATCTAGTCCAGAGCGAGAGCAATGGGTCAGATGTCGTTCAAGTTGTGCGAGACGAACTGAGCGATTGCAAACTTCAGATAACGGACTGTGAATTCGAAGGCCAATATCTAGAGATCCCCGACTAATCCTGCGCTGATTCCTCTTCTTTTATTTCTTCCTTGCAAGCAATCCCCCGTGAAGAACTCACCGAGCTTCATGGCAAGTTAGTCAATTTGGAGATTTGAGGGAACCCGATCACTTCCAAGTAGAAGTTGGATAGAGTGTGTATATAAGACTTTTCAACGGTTCGGAACACTGCTTAGTAGAGATGACTGTCGCTGTCCAGGGATGTTTCATTTCTTCTATGAATACAGTCTGCCAATACACTTACTCATCAAACTCGTGAGAAAGTTCCAAGAACTTCGGAAATATAGGCTGTGGAGGTGGTTCTGATCGTCGTTCGTAATCCTCCATCGTTGAATACAGACCACTATACGCTTTGATGGGTACTCCTTGTCTCGCTTCATCAGTGATAGTGATCGATTGCTGCTATTTGGCCATCTGAGAATGCATTTGAAAATTGAACAGATTATTCTCAGGCATGCTCCAGCCATGCTAGTCTTCGCTTTGTTGATCAGGATCATTGAAGATCTCTTTGGTCAGTGCCAATTCATCATGACCCCTATAGAGCTCCTTGGTCGAGCGTAGATAACCTTGCTCCCTTCGCTTTTTTTAAGGAATTAAGGACCCTCTTCTTTCGCCCGCAGTTCAATCGTCTCCTTGAAGAACTCGCTGTAAGAATGATGTGCGGCTTCCCACTGTTCCTATGTTGGCCTCATCCCGTCAAAAAGCTCAAGAAAAAGATATTGGTACCTTAGTCTCCAGCTATACATGCGAGTATGACCTGGTGTTTTAGGTCAGGTCGGCGCCATGCCAGCTCGCGCAAGGTGTCCGAATGTGGGCAGTGAGGCCACCAGAATAGCTCCGGAAGCATTTCGCCGTCGATTTCGCTATCGATGCGGGATAGATCGTCGTTCATGATGAACTGCGCATGGTATGCCTGCCTGATAAGTCTGTTTTCATACTGGCGTGGGAAAAGTTCGTCAACGCATGATTCGAGCCATCGCGCAAATGGTGTGTGATGGTAGGCACCGCGAACAACGGCCGTGATCCCATTCGGAGCTGCAATTGGCCGTCTGAGGCGAAAATAACGCTCAATATTGCCGTCCCAGGCAGCCGTGAGAATCAAAATGTCCTTGTTGATAGGAGACAAATCTTCTGGGAGTGGGGTGTGAAGCAGAGCGATGTACTCGCCTTGTAACTTTAAGAAACAAGGCCCCGGCGAAGGACAACCGCTGATGTTGGAGTCCTCTTGAATATTGAAGTAGTGAGAGGGCCATTTTTCTAAGTTGGGATTCCTCTCGGGAGGGGGGGCTCCGATAAATGTCAACGGTCGATGAAGTTCCAAGGAGAATCGAACAGCGGTATCCCCATTGAGATAAGCTCCTGGTCGTGGATTTTGCAGATCAACAGATCGTTGGTAATCGTTCATGACAGCATATCTCACAGCTTGGCTCATGATATGCTCAAAAATATCGAGTTTGCCATTATCGCGAGCTTCCTCGGCAATAGAGACATCCGGCAGCAGATCTAATTCGTTGTATAGCTCCCCATATCCTGCGACGGCGCAAGCTCGTCCAATGTGATAACGCATCTCTGGGTAGCGGTAATAAAGCTTTCGATAGGTCTCCTCGGTAGCAACATCAGGATGCCAAATGCAATAAGGTACCACTGCCTGGTACGCCATGTCTGGAATCATGTTGCTCATGATGAGACGTGCGTTGCGGGCCCCGGCGTACCTATCAAATATCTTGCAGATATGATTCGGCGAAACTTTCGTAGTGTCGGATGCCGTGAACGAGGAAATCATTGCTGTCGGCCCATTCCCAAACTCGCAGTGTCTCGCCAGGGCCTTTGACTCCGTTATAGAGACGTTTATCTTGACTTATCTTGCTAAAATCAGGACCCGAGCGCCTTCTTAAGCATCTTCATGTCAAGGCTCGAGAACACCTGAGCCATGATCGACGCAGCAGCAGAGGTGCCATGACGGGTCTCCTTAGTCGCGGTTGAGCGTTGAAAAGTGGGTGCATTGAGAGGGAGACCATCATTGAGTGGTCGTGAGGACTGGAATCTTGTTCGGCTTCGTGGTGTTTGAATATCTGCGAAGAGAGGAGGGAAGTCTGAACCCTCGTATCGCGTTTTCTCGTACATTGAGTAAGAAAAGAACACGCGACAGATTTTGCTCAACAAAATATTCGTCTCGGTAGAGTCGGATATCGCGGCCTGGACGGGGTGCTGTGCCGCACGTCTAACTTCAAAACCAAAAAGCCCAGCGCCCTACTCGGATAGGCCCCCTCAATTAGGCACGTCGTATGAACCTGGCCAGATATTCAAGGCGTCAAGAATTTGTGCATCCGGTTAAACCACGATGCGAGAAGTAAACCCCTATCAAAATGCTACGTAAAGCTCCGCCTCTAAGGCTCGACGAAGAGGAAAGAATACAAAGTCCCACTGCCAATACTCAAACGCAAGTGATGCAGAGGGTAAGAACTCTCGACTATCGCCGATGACCCCGACTGCCTCTATGACAGTTGCGATACCATGAACATTTCTCGTAAAATGACACGGCAGTCTACCCTTCTAATGCCAGCGGGATATGCCAAGATAATATGGACAGGACTGGGTTGTGTCTTATCCTGGGCTAGCATTCGACGGGTAACAAACCGACTTTTGTATCATATATGACGCATCATTTCACTTAAGATTCTTCAGTAATTTGTGAACAAGGCTTTGAAAGGTGAAATTGTAACCCTGAGCATGCCCGACTCCTCGATAGATGAGATTCACGACCTGCCCATGGCCTCAGCCCTTTATAGCCCAGGCCGTACAAAGTTCGTCAGCACACTGCTGGATCCCACCAAGGTTTTAGATCATCATTGGTATGCTGTTCCATCCGTGTGGCACTGCTACAAAGGTAAGTCATTAAAAATCTCAACAGTTGTTGGAAAGATGCACCGCAGCCTTTAACATATCAGCAAGGATGAAGATGCTACTCATCGAGGTTCCAGGCTGAGGCTGAAGCAGGTGGATAACTAGGCCGCCGCTAGACTTTGAGGAGCGAGTTGAACCAAATTCAGCCAAGACATGGGAACGGAACTGTTGAGCAAGACAATGGTCTTTTTAGTCGTCCGCAACTGAAGGTACACAGGTACAGGAAGCACCGAAAGACACGCTCGTGTTTGGCGTCAACATCGGCTTCAACTCCAAATATACAAAGCATATGTAACGTGTAATCATAATGCTATATTCCGGCCAATTCCAATGCACAAATTTTCCCAGTAATGACTCCCAGGCTGCGACTTCGACATCTGAAAACACAACAGAGCTCGCCTACGGCCGTGACTTCTTGGATCTTCATAATTCCGAGCAGGCTGGCATCAGATGATGCGTGAGCGTTGTGACCATATTGCACTTGCTAGGACCACCGAAAACCCCAGTCAGCCATCTCCGTGGCCCGGGTGACTGTTCTTCTCGTGACTCATCCTGCTGAAGTAAAGGTTCGACACTGCCTAAGGAGACATAGGCGACCAAGTGTAGCCCTGTGACAAAAGTAGAATCACCCGATTGCCTTGACGGTATGGAAAATCTGCATCTCAATTAAGTGCGAATAATAATGCTTCATACCGACGAGACACGTACTGAAGGATGGGCGGGAAAGCATTGATGGTTGATAAAACAGCCTCGTGAAGTTCAAGATGCTGCAGGGGTTTTGCCTCTCACCAGTGCATGCCAAGTATGATACCCTGGAATGCAAAACAGAAGGGCTCATCTCATACATCGCTTACTCACAGCATCACCGCAAGTTGAGCTTATGGTTCGGCTAGACGAGTGAAAGCTGCCATTGATATTGACCATTAATCCAGGTGCAGGGCCAGCTCTTAGACTTTCATGTAATGATGCTCAGACGCATATCAAGGCTTGTAGGCGGCAGGTCAACAGCCTCACAATCTTTGCAGGGCATCTCAAACTAACTGCGTGTATGTTTTCGATAGTCTAGGTTCAATAGCCGCGTTCCCATTGGGCGGTAGATAACTTGTACGGAGACAAAACGGCAGTGCCCGTATCGCTGCCGCGGCCGACACGAGCACGGGCAGACCAAGCAACCCATCCTCTCGAATTTGGAGGAACGAAGCCAAAATATGATTGGGCAGGTTAACCATCAGGGCGGACCGCCTTGAGCCGCTAATCTCCGGGGGTTACATTGACCTGCTAGATCGGGCCAAAATCCCCCGCGAGTGATGGCCCTTCCGCTCCCGGGACTCAAAGGTCAAGACCCTGCTCTGTCCGAACCCAGGATCTCTAACGTTTCTACGGATACAAAGAATCAGCGAAAAATATTAAGTAGCCGGGTCCCGGATCCACAATCCACATTTCAAGGTTGTACCGGTGTGACTGATCCGCACAGACGAGTGGGAACCAAGTGAATCATCCATCTCCAAAGAGCCGAAGACTTTGTGAACACAGGTAAACTGACCTGTGGCCCCCCCGGTTACCTGACCTGACCAAGGAAAAGGGACGTGACCTGAGCGCTCTTCTGATTGGCCCGTGGAAAATAAGTGGGTCCAGCTGACCCAATTCTAAAGTAATCTCAAAATAATTTAGAACTAATTCAGAATTAATTTAGAACTAGTTCTAAATTATAACTTAAATATAATAAATTATACGTATTTTTATATAAAGAATATTTTTATAAATATATTATACTAATTAAAATATTTAATAATTTATTTCAATATAAGGATGTAAGTTTTTGATTTTTTAAAAATATATTTAAAATAATTTTCAAGTTTATTTAGAATTAGTTTAGAATTAAATTAGAACTAGTTTAGAATTAGTTCTAAATTAAGTTTTTATTAATTTTAATATTTAATAGTAGTTTTATATTTTAATTTTAGTTTTTATAATACTATTTTTTTTAAAAAAATACTAAAAAATATATCTTTAAGTAATTTAATTAAAAATAAAATCTTAATATTAAAAATTACTTATATTATATTAATTTAATATAAAACTAATTTAGAATCGATTTTGAATCGATTCCGAATTACTTTTAGATCACCTACGGAGTGGCACGGGCCACACTCACGTGAAAATGTGGGGTGGTCAGCTAACACCCCCCCCCCACAGGTCAGTTTACCTGTGTTCACAAGACTTTAGTCACAAGCTCCCTGCTTGAGTCGTGTCTTGGTCTTCTGCAAAAGGACCTTGCCAAGATTTGTAAGGCACTTAATGAGCCCACCGGCGCAGAACGAATATCTGCGCAGAGCAATCTGAACCGACCAATCCTAGGGTGCGACTTGGACTGTTGCTGCCCATAGTCGAGGGTGGAAGGCAGATAGTTTTTGCAGCACTGGATCGATGGGTCCTTCATCACAAGAAAGTTAAGTGTAAGTGGCTTCTCTGATTGCCAGCTTCCCCGTTCAGCTCACTCTTAGATTCCTCAATTTGTACTGACTGGCATCAACTTGTCAAGCTCCAATGAGCTTATCTCCCAACCTGTCGAGCCAGTGCGCTCGCGCCTGCTCCTGGATACGAAGCGGAGGCAGGACATCGACGGAGAGAGAGGACCACCATGAAGCAAGCTGCAGGCTGCAGGCCACGAGGCGGGGATGCCAAGTCCAACCCCAGGACCCCAGTGACCAACGTCTTCGCGGTCATCATTGTGCAGCAGCCGTATGCTTACAGCATGGTTCGGGCGAAGCAGGGCAAACGAGAATGAGAATGACCCCTTGGCACTTCTGTCATATATGATGCCAGTGCCAATCACCCTCATGGACGACGCAACTCGACGTTCTTGGCCTTCCCCTGCTCCTCATCGACGGCCATCCTTCACCTAGAGCCCGCTTGCTCGTGTTGAACGACATCATCATGAAGACCACACAGGCCTGCGCTCTCCTATCGCTCGCCCTTCTGGGTGAAGCCTGTCTTCTCCCCGGAGAAGCCTCCGGCGGCCGCATTGCCCGCCGCCAAAACGCGAGCCCCAACAACACGGGTATCGCCATCGGCACGGGCGACCGCTTTGACGGCGGCAAGAAAGTCCCCCGTGGTCTCGGCACCCAGCCCGCCGGTACGAATCTCACCTCCCTCCTCAACGTCAACGAGATCAAGAGCGCCGTCAAGGGCCTCGTCCAGGAGTATGACCTTGAGTACTTTGAGTCGCCGTACAAGACGTATGAGAATGCCTCTTTCTTCGGTGCCAAGATCGGTGGCGAAGGCGGGAACTGCAGCGATGCGCACCACGTGTACTTCAACGCCGCCATTCATGCCCGCGAGCGCGGCTCATCGGATAACATCATTTACTTCATCTCCGACCTCCTATACGCGAACAAGCACGGCGAAGGCTTGACGTATGGCGGTCGGGTGTACACCAATGACGACGTAAAGCGTGCCCTGTCAACCGGTATTGTCTTCACGCCGTTGAGCAACCCTGACGGCGTGGCATATGACCAAGCCACACACAGCTGCTGGCGTAAGAATCGCAACCCGGCCGCCTCGGGGGGCAATCCGGAAGCCATTGGCATCGACCTGAACCGCAATTTCGACTTTCTCTTTGACTTCCCCAAGAGTTTCGCGCCCAGCGTCGGGCCCAACGTCGCTTCGGAAGACCCGACTGAACAGACTTACCACGGCGCTGCGGCGTTCTCGGAACCCGAGTCAAAAAGCATCAAGTGGGTGATGGACCAGCACAAAAACGTCAAGTGGTTCCTCGACATCCATAGCTACATCGGCGTTGTCCTGTACAACTGGGGCAGCGACGAGAACCAGTTGCGCCAGCCGTATATGAACTTCATGAACGAGTCGTACGATGCCGTCCGCGGTCTGATGCCGGATACGCCGTCCAACAATGGCGTCTACGGCGAATACATCCCCAGCGACGACTGGTCGGAGAAGGTCTTCGCTGCAATGCGAATGGGTAACGCCATGGACGCCGCCACCGGCCGCCACTACCAGGTTGAGCAGAGCTCATACCTGTACCCAACTTCGGGTTCAAGTGATGACTACGCCTACTCGCGTCACTTGACGGATCCCTCGCTCGGTAAGATGCACGGATTCGTGGTTGAATTTGGCTTTGGTAATGATGAGGTGGACTGCCCCTTCTACCCAACGCCCAGCCAGTACAACTTGAACCTGCTAGAGACAAATGCTGGCTTCATGGAGTACCTGCTCGCCGCGGCTGATCTTGGCGTTGGCGAACCGGCTTCCTGCGCAGCATGAGTACACCGGCTTTGCGGAAATGTAAGAGGGGGGGGGGGGGGGGGATTAGCGGCGTGGACTCCCACTTTGACTCTATGGTGGACAAGATGTTGACCATCATCCGGAGACGGACAGAGTCCCGGAGCACATTCCGAGACATTTGTCAGGATGACGAGCTTGTTGATTAGAAATACACAAACGTCCTGAAAATGAGCCTCTACAAAATAATAAGTAAATCTTGTCGAATCCCTGTGTGTCGGTTAAACGCCGAAGAATCTCTCGACCTCGCATTTCTCATAATTCTAGTCTACTGATATCGGACACTTACTCTGCCCTTGGCCGCATCGACGATTCAGGCACCTAACCTTCGATTCTGGCTAGAATACCGAGAAAGACTCCATTTGAGGCAATTTGAGGTGAGTTTAGCATTTATCAGGGGCAAAAATCAAAAGAACAACTGCTATGACCGCGGCAGGGCTCGAACCTGCGACCTTCTCGGGATCTTGTGCACATAGATGTGAACGAGAAATCATGACCACTAGAACACACAGCCGGTGATTGAGACTTGTCGAAGATGTTGAGGGCTAAGGAGCGTCAGCCAGAAAAGACCCCACTAACCCCGCCAAACCACACCCCACCATCATCACGATCCTCCTCTGACGACACCAGTCACCTCAATTAGCAATGACGCCCAACTCGAAGCCGACAAGACAGCCTTTCCGCGTTCTGGCTTTCAGCAAGACCTCTGGCTATCGACATGATTGCATCTCAGCTGCTGTCTCTGCCGTGAAGGCCCTGGGCGAGCGCACGGGACTCTTCACTGTCGATCGCAGCGAGGACGCCGAGGCCTCTATCAATCCTCGATCCCTAGCAACGTACGCGACTGTCGTGTTCCTTCACTGCACGGGAACGTTCCTGAATGTTGAACAACTCTCAGCTTTGAAAGGCCACGTGAACTCGGGCGGCGGATTCGTGGGGGTGCACGCCGCCGGCTCGGGATTGAGGGAGGATGAGTGGTATGGCAAGCTGGTCGGCGCCCATTTTGACCAGCATCCGCCGCCCGAGGAGGGCACCTGTGTCATTGAAGATCGGGGGCATTTCATAATGCGCCGTGGAGGCGGAAACCATCCGGCGGAGGCGTGCGACGATGTTCGGAAACAGTGGACGGACGAGTGGTATAACTTTCTGTCGCATCCTAGGGACAACAATAACCTCCACATCCTAGCTCGGGGCGATCCGACAAGCTTCAATGGCGGTTCCATGGGGGACGATCACCCGCTCGTATGGTGTCAAGAGTTTGAAGGTGGAAGGTCGTTCTATACGGCCCTAGGCCACTATGAAGAGGCGTACGAGGACGAATGGTTCGTTGGACAGATTCTCAGGGCCATTCTCTGGACTGCTCGTCATGAAGACGAAATGATCCCCACCATATGATGCCCTACTAGTGAGACGGAGGAGACACGCTTGGCACTGTTGGTCATGAATCAGTAAACATTACAGGGCGCGGGTATCTAAAGTAGGATTCTAATGACGAGGCAGAATTAGAGGCACACACATTGTATGCAAACACGCGACTGACTAGCCCATCATCCCGTCGCCGGGCTCGCCGCTAAATCGGACCTCGATCCTGGACTCGAGAGATTCCGACCAGATGTCAGACTGAAAGTCTGGTATATGAAGCAGGATGCCCAGTTCCTGACTCGTGTACCAACTGGCCCGGTCCAGGTTGCCTGAGCCCAGCAAGAGGAACTCCTTGTCAACGAGCGTCATCTTCAAGTGCGACACGACAGGCTCCTCTGGATCCCGCACCGCCGTCGCCTGCAGGTTCGGGCGGTAATAGTAGATGTCGAGGCGGCCTGGCCGTTGCAAATGCGACTCGGCGTCTACCGATCGTTTCCGGCTCCACTCTGCGCAGGCTTGGGCGTATCGCTTGACGAGCGAATTGAGGGTCCATTCCGTCGTGGTGCAAGCCGTGACGAGTTGTTCGATTAACATCATGTTCTTGCTTGTTCTGATGCGGACGCTGACACCGCGACGAAGTGCGTCGAGGAGTGCATCGACGACTGCTCGGCAAGTCAGGTTCGGCGTCACGATATCAATGTCGGTTCGGGCACAAGCGAACAAAGAAAGCAGAGCCGCATTGAGAGGTGTGGTAGGAGCGGTAGTGCGCCGCCAAACAGGAACGAAGCGGAAGGCCGGGTACCAGTGATGAGATGAGGGTAAGATCAGAGTCGGACAGGGCGGGAGACTTGCGAGGCTAAGCCGTCGATACGCGGTCTCGTCGTCCGAAGGTGGACCGCGAGATGGAACAGTTCGGCCAGTGTCTTGATCGACTTGACCGAGCCCCTGGTTCGCCTCACGACCACCGTCATCTTGGTCGTCGGGGATCTCTCGCGCGCCAGCGGCGGGCTCCCAGACATTGGTGTAGAATTTGACGAGTTGAGCAACGGCTGCACCCTCGAACCCAATACAGCCTTCGAACCACGTCTCCCAGCTCACGTTACAGCTGGGCATCCAAGCGCGCTGGCGGTCGACAATGACAAACTTTGGATGCATGACGCTGAAGGGCAAGAAAAATAGGCTCTTGACGGTGAGATCGATGCGGGCGGCCCTGAGGATGCTGTCTGGGGGCAATCCGAGCTTTGGCCACGCTGAGGTTGGGTACGCGTATCCGTCTCGCGACCACGGATGGAATATCTTCTGGAAGAAGCTGCGCGACGAAAAACAGATGCGGACGCGTAATGGGGTGACGGCATCTTGGCCGGTCGTTTCGATGGCTTCTCTGCGTCGCTCGGCAAGGAGTTCCAGGGTTTCTTTGATGGCACTCAAGGTATCGGACGGAGCCCAGAAGCACGTAACCAAAATCACCTCGTGTTTCGCAACAAGTATAGCCGGGAGAAGAGCGTTTCTGTAGATGCTGACGCCGTTGCCGACGGTGAGAGACTTGGGGCTACATGTTGTCACCAAGCTCTCGGGATGAGAAACGTGGTAGTTTGGGAAGTCGTTGAGCTGCTCCCCACGACTCGATTTCAGAGAGTGAATCCAATGGTCGAGAAAGGCCGAGGGGAAAGAGTGTGATGTCATTTCCGGCTTGGTGATTGGCAGTGAGGCTGAAGGTTGGGGTTTGTGAGCATCAGGGGTGCAGGTTCTAACTTCCGAGCTCTCGAATCCCATACGACGTTGGATGGATGACTGATGATAGAGGCAACTGGACTGAAGGCCAAAATGTCGTCATGCCACTACAGTGGAGGAGGATCCCTTCGTCACTGAGAGTTACCACAGTGCTGCCGCCTCTTTGTTGTAGGTATCTTGTCGCCGCAGGCTTCACAGGCTCGTAGCAAACGTATACGGTATAGCTAGTGAAAGACGCGGCTGTCAGTGGCGTGTTTGGGATGGTAGACGCGCTAAGATGTGAGTGCTGCGATACGCCTGAGGTCAAAATGGCATGGGCCTCCGTGGCCTCGTCATTGGGGAATCGTTTATGCCACTCGTGAGTTTCCAAACATCAGCGCAGGGCAGATGGAATGGCGTGGAGAAGGGTTAGGCATGGGAGTCTCTGCCGGACCGCCGGCCTGATCCCAGCAGCAGTGGACCGAAATTGTCGAAAGATTGAGGCGCAGTCGCGGGAAACTTCAGCGATGCAGCGACTCTCCCAGTGCGTGATGACTGAGACGGTGAGACTGTACTGGCTTTGGCGCTGGCACTGGGTCACTGCCCAGTGCCTGCTGGCAGACAGACGGGCGCCCCATGTTGCTGCATTGTTTGGTGTCCCGTCGGTGACAGAGGCCGGGCGCCGATGGTAAGGTCAGGCTGGGAATTACGTTGGCACTGCTTGAAAGTTGCGAGTGGAGGGATCTGCAGCGCTAATACGAGCACAGAGAGCGACATGTCCCAGACAGACGATCCGCTAAGCGGCAATGCATGAGATAAAGCACCCCCAGAGTTCCAGTCGATGGCGAGCCCAGGGATCTATCACCTGGGAACGATTGGTGACGGGACTGAAACGGTCGCCATCAGAACGGCCAAGTTAAAACGGAGAAAGCATCTCATTTCCCATACAATCGACGTGGTCTCGAAGTCGATCAACGAAAGACAACGAAACAACAGTTGGGCAGTAGGCTATCTCGAATATCTACATGCTTCGACACCGAGGCATCTGATATCGGATCGGGATAGTTCATGCATGTGGTTGTGGATTGTTAGTACCTAGGCTAGTGATGCTGTTCAACCACTGCCGTCCGTCAATGTATTGAGCTTCATCGGCAATGAGATTGAAAGACATTCAGTCGTCGGGGTCAGAAACACTGCGAGAGACTGATTCGTCAAAACGCATAATGCACATGGCTTGGGTGGTTGGCAATTTCCTCTACACAGTAGGTACGACAACCGGGACAGCCCGGGATCATCCCCCGTGAACAGCTGTCCAGCTCGTGTCAAGTGGTCTAGGGCGAGAACAAAGTTTGGACAAGGCCCGGTGTAAATCAAAGGAAGACGTGGACAGATGGTCGGCGTAGGCGGTTTGAAGCAACATGGAAACGGCGTCTTGGATGGTGTCAGCCCAATCCTTCACATGAGGCGAGGCAACAACGCTGAGCACGGCCGAATGATCCAATGCGGCGACACAAGCGCCAAGAGTAGAAGGAGAAGGGCAGCTTGTCAGGGCCATGCACTTGCTGTCATCGATTTCATCTTGAGAGCGTTGTCCTTTCATTCGTGAGACCACAGAGCCGCATCCGCGGGGGGGATGACCAATGGGCAGGGTGTGGGGTTCGGCTTGCACTTGAAGGCCGTGGTAACTTTATGATGCACATCTGCCGGGCAGACTGCGACGTGTCGAGGGTAGGTAGGGATACTTGCGCATGTTGCTCGCTGCGTGGGCTACTCGAGTCGATCACACGAGGTCGAGTTATCCTCAAGCAATCAATGGCCATCTGCCATCTGCCATTTGCAATATTCGTATGGATGAGTCGAACGGTGCCACTCCCTCCTGTGTATCAAGTCATATCGAGTAAGGAAGGTAGTTTAATGTGAGGCCAGCGTCAACCTTCCGAGAGTGACACAAGGCACTACAAATGGTACCTAGAGAGCTTTGAAAAACTGTTGAGTGAGTGTGAAGCGGATAATATCGGAGGCGAGAGCTGGCTTTTCAAGTTCCTGCCGCAATGCGTACTGCCTAACGCTGAATTTTAGTCGCAATGGTGAGCCAAAGTCAAGCCCTCTCCAGCTTGACCCAGGAAGCTCAGGAATTGTCTAGTCTGTCGATTCCAAACTTCCATCTAGCGTGTCTTAAGCCACCGTCACTTGTGATATTTTGTCTATGTTGGACAAAATACGGACACGGCGAAAGCGGAAGCCAGGGAAAAAGAGGAAGCTGAGCCCGGACAAGACCTCCGATGTGTCCGCTTGTTTGCCAGTTGGACCCTCATCGTAGCGCTGCAGAAAACAGTGGATCTCCAAGGGAGGAACAGGAGACTGGTGTGGTCCCAACCAGTCCCCAACGACCCCGTCACGCCCGTCTCGATTTAGCACAGCCTTTACTCCGTGTGGGTGGTGGCACGGTGTGTGGATGAGATCTTGGTCGTGTTCCTGGATCCCAGCTCACTGATGGTGTGGACAGCGGGACATCTTGAGACTGACTGGCTGGCAGGTCACTGGTCTCAAACCGGTAGGGGAGAGGAGCGACAAGCGGGGCGGATGATTGGACGGACGCAACAAGCGGCGCGAAAGAAAAGCCAGCGCTAGGGTTGGCCAGCACATTTGACGGAAGAGCGCGGGATATACGTAGATAGCGCATTATTTGTATGAGTGGTGTTGAATCGACGTGTCCCGCGACACGATGCCGAAAATGTGGTCAACGCGGCAGCCCATCAAAGACCGGAAGAGAACCCAATTGTAACGGCAAGTGTGTGAGACTGTGAGGAGTGGTGCCGGCCCACGAGGGACAGATGTGGGCTCTGGAGAAAGGTATGGAGAAACCAAACATGTCGGGAAACGGCAAAGGCGTTTTTTGTAGATACCATTGGCCCAACGGCTTGGTCTCGACTGGCATCGACCCAGGCTTGAGGCAGGAATCAAGAAGGGCGGCTTGGACGGTTATAATTCGTTGACATTATTCCTGGGGCGCTCCGGGGAGGCTTCTGAGATCGGCTGCCTTACTGTGCAGGTAGGTATCCGTAGGTATGTAGTCGATTGCAGCAGGCTCGATGAAATAGTTGACGGATAGCCAATGGCAATTGTCCCCTGAAATGTCGAATGGGTGGTGTGACTGGGTTCATCTGGCAATATGGGCGCTTCCTGGGCCGACGAGGGGACGGAAAAATTCACCAGATGGAGAATTTCGCAGGCAATATAGCATCTTGCATCTTGGTCGACACCAAGTTCGAGTCGTTGACAAACAATTCCAGAGACAACAGTGGCAAGATGCTGCCGGGTCGAGGCACGTGGCTTGCCCGGTCCAGACCCTTTTCCTCCTGCCTCGCAGTCACAATGGATCGTTCTTGCCTGCCCCGATACTGTGACGTTGTCTCGGGAAGCAATTGGGCTGAGCGAACCGGCAGGAAGGACGATACCGTAAAAGGGCCGCACCTGCCTCTAGCCTGCCTGCCTGGCTGATCATGCTCTTTCGCAGCTTGTCCAGAGTTGACAGTGAGGTGAGTACCTTCCATATAACCCCAAGGTACTACCTATATAGAGGAAGGCAAGCACGTAGGTAGGGTACCTTAGGTACTTACTTGCCAGCCCCTCCTCCCTCGAATTTCATGCCTCCACTGGCCAAGTTGGTGAGAGTGACACGCAATTCGAGACCTCCCCACATTGGACCCCCCTTGACTCCCTTCATATCAAACCAATGGCTCTTGGAGTTTAGGACTTTGGTGAGGGGGACTATTACGGAGCAGAAAGATACTTGATTGCACCGTCCCACGAGTTACCTAGGTAGACTATCGTAAATATCCATACGGATAAATCATAATTGCCTCCACCACCTCGTGCCGCACTGCAGCCAGCTGCAATCGCTCTCCCCGCCGGGCTCCATTACCAGGTAAGGTAGCGTGCAACAGGAATGCGATTGGGACAGATTGGTACTGAACTGCAGATTCGAGGGTGCGGGTTGCAGGTGCCAACCAGCCTGGCGGTGGCTAACGCCATCTCCAGGTCTCCAACAGCCAACAAACCGCCGAGAAAACCTGCAATCCTGTGGTTCGAAGACGGGGTGTGCATTAGTGAATGCACCTGCCACGATCCAGGCCCTGCTCTACTAGGTATGGTAGCCTTGGTAGGTACTCGACTGCTCGTGCTACCTTGATCTGTCCCAATTCAGCAAGGTTGCTGCAGAAGTGAGAAAACACTTTCGATGCTCGATGTGCTGATTACTCCGGCCAAGCTATTTTCATTTCTAACACGACTGGTGAACCATTGTCAAAAGGCAAGTACATCTCAAAGGCACGTTTCCTTGGCTGCAAAAGTCTCGTGTCTAGGTAGCCTTCCCAACTTCAAGTGGTTTCCAGTGTCCCTTCCGCATGGCCATGGTCTGGTCACTCTGGAAGGTACCTAGGTACGTATCGATGATACCCCGCCTCAAATCTCTTTCCATTCTCGAACCTGAGATAGTGGGGCCACTTCCCACCCGACCCCCTCGCCCCTCGGCGGTTGAGTGTGGTCCCTTCCATTTCGAATTTCTGGTCCACCCTTGCAACCATAATCCCCAGCGGTTTACCATGTTTTTTCGTGTCCCGAATTCCCAGTGGCAAGGAACGTACGGAGCATGCATGGCTGAATGGGAAAGGGACTGAACAACTGGGAAACGAGTACTTAGTATACGGATACTTAACAGGTAGTCGTGGCAATGTGCTGTTTCCCTGTGCGAATGAAGAAAAAATAAGTGCACTCGGGTGCTAGCTTCGCCATGGCACGGGAAAGAAGGGGGCCTCAACATACTGTAAGTAGATGCTGTGGTCTGAAATCACCGCTTATTCACGGAAGCCTCGAATCTCAAAGGTATCTGTACCAACAAAAACCCGAGATACGTTGTCAAAACTCTGATTTAGAATACGGACGTGTCCCTTTGCCTGTGGTTGTAGGTTGAACACCGACCTTGCCGTGACGTCCAGTCTCGTGCTCTCCGCTCTCGATATGCCAGTGGTCCCTTTCTTCCTTGTGCCCTCCTGCCTTCCCCCAAGCTTTCCAGACCTTCCCTTCCCTCCCGGGGAGTGACACCCGACCACCCCACTCGATACGTACCTGCATGCCTTAGCTCACGCCTTAGCTCGGCTCCAAAACCCACCTCCCGCAACAGAAGTTCAGTAAAACCGCCCACCACACACACACACACACACACATACGAAGGTACCGTGGCACTCCACTAGAACATTGAGACGCACATCAGGACAGTTACGGATTTCCTGCCACGGATACCTTACCTTGCCTCGACCTGCTCCTGCCTCCAAATCTACACAGTATTCCTGTGAGACTGCCAATTAACCTTCTGCA